CGGGGGGCGCCCGCGAGGCCGGGCCGCGCGCCCTCCCCGCCTCCCGCCGCGCGTCCAGGAAGCGCCATATTGATCCGGCGCCTTCCTCCCGCCCTCGGCGCCCGCCCGCCCGCACCTTAGCGATGGCCTTCCGGTAGCGGGTCACCGCCTGCTGCACCAGGCTGCAAACTTTCATGTGGCCGTCCCCGCACGGCACGACCACCCGGGTCCGCCCGAAGCACACGGTCACTTTCATGCCGCCGCCGCTCGCTGGGACCGCGGCCGAGCGCGGGGTCCGGGCGGGGACGCTAGGGGCGCGGGCGGACGGCGCCGGGGACCCGGGAGGCGGGCATGTCCGGCCGCGTCCCTCGCTCGCCTCGCTCGCCTCACCGCCGTGCCCCGCGGCGCCCGCAGCTCCGGCCACCTGTTCGGCGTCTCGGCACGCTCGGCGGCGGCGGCCCGGGCCGTGTGGCTCTGGCGGCCGGGAGGGCGGGGAGCGGGCGGGGGCGGGGGTGGCGCACAACACGGCGCACATGCGGAGGGGTGGGGGGCCCGGCCCCGCCCCGTCCGCCGGCCCCGCCCCGTCCGCCGGCCCCGCCCCACCGGGGGGCGCGTCCCGCACCCCGGGCCCGCTCTTTGTCGCCTCCCAGCCGCGTCCCTCGCCGGAGGTTAGGGTGCCGGGCTCCCCTACCCCCGCTTTCTTCTCGCTGTCCGCGGGTTCTGCGTTCAAAACAAACGGATCGTGGGCTCCGGAGAGCTCCGCTAGGCTCCGCGCCGCCCGGCCTCTCTCTGAGGCCGCCGTTCGCCTTCGAGTCTCCGGCTGACCCACGCGCCTGAAGGCGTAGAACTTCCACAGCAGCGAGACCGTGTGTCAGTGTATCAGAGTCAGATAGATTTGTTTCTTGGAAATTCTGCCACGTCGGCAATCCCGAGGGGACGCTGGGCCAGGGGGTCCCCAGGCCAGGACGCAGTGGTGCTGTCGCAACTCCAAGAGTTAGCTACCGTTTTATTAAAAGAAAAGGAAAAAGAAAAAAAATTGGACCAAGCCAAGAAATGTAACTGAGCCCATTTCTGGACTTAGTTCCAGACTGATCCTAAATAACTGGATGACATTGCGTTTAAAGAAGAGCAAATGTCAGCAAAGAGTCACTGTGGACCGAAGTCTCAGCCAAACCACAGTAAATTCATGTTTCCAGGTTTTTAGGCTATGTGAAAGCAGCAGAGCTCGCGGAGCCCCAGTACCTCCCCTTGTCGAGCGCCACTGTCCTTCATCCCAAGCCACCTCCCATTCTTACAGAGGAAACCAGAGGTCCATCTGCTTCCTGGAACCCCTCACACCAGGACCCCCACGCCACTGCCCAGGGATGGCGTTGTCATTGACCTAGGAAACACTGTGCTTCCATCCTCTCATCTCACAGCCCTGAAGAACCAGCAGCTACCTCACCTGTCCTAACAAATCAGTGGCATGAGTAGTGCTGCGTCCCCCATTCGGGTCACCTTCCAGGACACTGAGTGAGAAGTCACTGACAAAGCCTGAGGCAGACCCAGACACATCCACCTTCCTTCCACACAGTCCTGGAAAGACTCAGCCCACTCTTGTTCAGCCACAGGCATCCACATTTCTACTCAGTAGAGACTAAGTTTGTAACCACTGTGACGACTGTTGCTGAAATCGTCCTTGGATCTTATATTACTACCCGAGTCCACAGTAACAATTATGCATAATTATAGGTGGTGTTTCTGTTTTCACACCTGAAAGAAGGTCTACTGGTTTAGAGGTGGGTCTTCTCAAAAACAAATTTCAAATGAAAGTTGAGCTTCAGTAACTGTGAGAGTGCCTCAGACATCACACAGACCTCGATTCCAATCCTGATCCAACCATGTCTTAGACTTGGCATGCACTCTCTCCAGCCCCAGCTTTACCAGCTAAGAAGTGAAGTCAATGAGATCCATCTCATAAATTATGAGGATTAAATAAAATAATATGAAATCTGTACATACTGCCGGGCTGCCAGGAGCAAAGGTATACACCTGTAATCCCAGCACTCTAAGAGGCTCAGGCAAGAGGACAGAAAATTTTAGCCCAACCTGGGGCAACTTGATGACTTAGCAAGACCCTGTCTCAAAATAAAAATAGGAAAGGGGCAGGGGGATGGGTATGTAGTTCAGTGCAAAGGCCCTGAGTTCAATTCCTAGGACTACAAACAAAGTACATCTTGCCACATGGGAATGTGTAACAAAGCAGAGTCCAGTTGCCATATATTGGCAAAGGGTAGGAAAGTGCACAGCAGAAAATGGTGGTGATACAGAGCGGGGAGGGAGGGAGAGAAAGCCAGAGGCTCAGAGAAATTGCTAGACAGATGATAGGAATACTCAGGACATGGGCCAGGACGAGAACCGAAGAACAGGGCTCATGATTCTCAGGCCATTATTTAATTCACACTAATTCTGTTCCACCTATAGTTTAGCAAAGACTTCCCATGTGGAAAATACTGAAATTTTACAGAATTATACAACTTGAGTAAAAGAAAGACAAACTAGAAGTCAGAATAAGATAACTATTTAAATCAACTGTATTTCAAGTCTTTAAATAGTAAGTGCCAGCAACATCAAACTGTCTATGCACCACTTCATTTATATCAGTTACTTTCATTATTTGTTAATAAGGGTTTAGACAGTTTTCCAAACATGATCTATAGGACTAATGATAATCACAGCTATTCAACTAACTGGAAAAGCCTACGGTTTATCTAGATGCAGTGGTTCCCTTTTGTTACAGCTGTGTTTAGATGTCCCCCAAAGCCTCATGCAGACATAGGTGGGGCTTTTTCAGAGGTGGCTGGATCTGTAGTGTGTGATTAATTCATTGTGCAATGCTAGGATTAAGGGTGGGTGATTACTAAATCAGTCCATTGATTGGTTTGGCACTGCCCTAATCCCAGTAGATTGGACACTATAAGGACAGAAAGGACAAAAAGAGGCTTGTGTGGTCTCTTGCTTGCTTTGCTGCCTTCTGCCCACCATGAACTGTTTCTCCTCTGTGATGCCCTCTGCCATGTGCCACTCTCCCTTAGAGCCAGCTGATTATGGACTGAAACCTCTACAAACTATGAGCTAAATAAATACTTCCCCCTTTATCTTTGGGTGTCAGGTATTGTGTCTCAGCAATGAGAAAAGTAACTAATAAACTGTATGTTAATAATTGATGAAACACATGCTCTGTAACTTTAGATGCCAGACCTTTTGGTGTCTTGAGTTGATTTCATAAAACTTTATGACAGATAATGAATCTATTTTCACTAATACACTCAACTAATATCTAACCATAAAGTTGGATTAGGGCCAGACTAACTTCATGCCTATAAATGTTCAGTTTGACCAAATTGCTTCTGGCCTGAGGTAAGCATAAAAGCAAACACAATCCTGAGGTGAAGCAAAATGATCAAAGTGAAAGGTCAAATGTTATATAAATATTTTATAATGTATTTATTTTCTTTGCCATCCTGTCCTGTTTACTTTCTTAAATTCTGCATATTTCTGGTACAAAATAATTATGATCCTCCCTTTCCTTGTGTTTCTGTTTTACAGTTGATTGAGTTGATTTTTGAATACCCCAGAGTTCTGAGAATTAAAGAGGGTTTACCTGGGCATTGGCCCTATCTGCGACAGGCAGGTGTGACCACATGGACTGTAATTTCAATGACATCCAGCCATACTCATGTGCACCCTGAAATAGATACACACCCCATGTGTTTAGGGACAGCATTATATTACCAACTACCTGGCCCTTAGAAAGTTAACAATTAAGAATAAAGAAGTCATGTACAAGAGTCTTTGAAATTCAGTCATATTCTGAAGATTGTAGTTATCAGTGGGGCATTTCACACACCTATTAGTGACTACTCTTAGATTTTATACTTAGGCAACATTAACACTCTCATATGCCTAGCCTCACCCAAGTTCAGTCCAACAAGAGAATTAGATCACTCATTCAATAAATACTATCTCGGGCCAGGGATTTAGCTCAGTGGTTTCACTGCCTGCTGCGCAAGCACAAGGACCTGAGTTTGATCCCCAGTACCTAAATAAATAAATAAATAAATACTATCACAGCCGGAGATTTAGCTCAGTGGTTCCGGCACCTGCCTCACAAGTGCAAGTTCCCGAGTTCGATCCCCACTACAAAAAATAATAATAATAATTAAATAAATACTATCAATCATCTGTTTTACATCAAGCGCTGCATTGCACCCTGGGTTTATAAATTCACCCCTCCAGAGGTCCCCAGACTGACAAAGGTCTTAGGGGTGAGCTGGCCGCAATGGAGAGTATGGTAAGAGGAGCATTTTAGGGTTCTGGTGATTCCCAAGAAAGTGCTCCCCCCTCCTGCAAGAGAGGAGAACGGAGGGAGAAGCAGCTTAGCTAGTGTTGTCTGAGAGAAACACAATATGAACCGCACATGTACCATGAAATCCTCTCATAGCCCTGGATGAAGTAATTTCTGATAATACAGTTGAACCCAGTACCACACGCTATCACTTCATCGTGTGATCCACTTCTAAGAAATATTCCTGAGTCCTTTACTTTTTCTTTTCCAGCTCCTAGGGGTAGTGGATACTTTCAGCACATCTCAGTGTGGACTGGCCACATTTCCTAGACTCAGTGGCTGCACGTGACTAGTAGCCACCCAAGGGGACAGCATGGTGCCACCAGGGGACCTATGCACACTCCAGGACCTGACCCCTACACAGAATTGTGGCTCTGAGGGCAAGACTGTCCTGGCCAGCACTGGCTGGAAAGTCACAGTCCCAGGCTGGCTGAAGGCAAGAGCATGTGACCAGAGCAGGGAGGGGCACGTGGCTCCCTGACACACGGTGCACTGCTACACAGTAGCACTGCTGTGTTTAGTGTCGAACACGAAGACTGGGAGGGAGGAGGCCCGGCCCTGGGCTCTGCACGGCTGCCCTGCTGCTGAGTACCATGAAATGTGTCTGAAAGCAGTGATTTGTGCCATGCTGCCTGAGCCCACGTGAACTGCACACTGAGAGTAATGACGACGAATGATGGAAAAGGAAACAAAGAGGAAGTAATGAGAGAAAAGGAGCTCAGTGATCCCCCAACCTGCCAGGAGCACTCAGCAGATGGAAGAGTACAGGGAATGAACGAAGGGGCCCAGAAGCCCTGCCTGAGTCCCTCGCCAGTCTCCTTCCCCTGGTATCCAGGGCTGTGACCGCATCTAGTAGACCTGCGTCATCC